CCGTGCGCGCTTGGGCCGCGTGCTCTGCCACCGCGGCGCCGGGCCGGCGCTCTGCTGCGCTGCGTAAGTCGGTGTTGCGGAGGACGAGGAAGTTGTCGTGACTTCCCCGGCGAGTGACTAATCGGAGAGTTCCCCGCCACGGGATTAATCATGGCCAGGCTGATTGCTGTTGCTCGGCGGCTGTGAAGCCGCTTCGAAGGCTGAGAAAGGGGAGTTGGCATCTAGCCCCGGTGTGTGGCCAGGGGTAACCAACCCCCGCGTGGTGCCTGCGTGCGGTGCCTGCGTGCGGGGGGGTTTATTGCAGCTGCAGCCGGTGACACAGCTGGTTGACAGGCCGCTGGACCCGGCCTTTCCAGCATTGTGAAACTTTCTAAATCAGTCGGGGAAGAGCCCTTCTAAGATTTGGGCCTGGGGCAGGTTCTGCGTGCCAGGGGATCCCAGCGTGCTTGTGGCCCCAGCGAGGCCCTCAGCAGCCCCTGTTCACCCCACAGAGCACCTTGAGGGATGCCCAAGAAGTTCCAGGGCGAGAACACCAAGTCGGCTGCTGCCCGGGCGAGGAAGGCTGAGGCGAAGGCAGCAGCCGATGCAAAGCGGCAGCAGGAGCTGGAGGATGCCTTCTGGAAGGATGAAGACAAACACGTCATGAGGAAAGAGCAGAGGAAGGTATGTAGCGGGGGCAGCGGTGCCGGGGACCTCGTGGCTGGGCGCATGGGAGGCTTCCAGCTTCCCTTGGTCTCCCCGGTTCTGGAAACGCCGCCCTGCGCTCAGCTCTGGGCAGAGGCACAGCTCGCTGCTGCTCCGGGAATGGGAAGCAGCAGGGTGTTTGGGGCGATGTGTGCCCTATAGAGGGGTTGGACCACAGGGTTGGTAACCCTCCGTGGGGTGGGAAGCTCTGGAGACCCTGCCACACGGAGACCCTGCGCCTCTTTCCATCTTGAAATGGAAGGGTTTTATAACCCATGCTGGGTTTGTATTGTCTCATCTACACTCTCGGCCCACAGGCTTTTGCGGCAGGGCGGGGAGGGAACGAGCTGTTCCTCTGTCTAACCCGTCCGACCTGCCTGCCGCGCGCTTCGCCATTCGGTACATGGGACGGTTCTGTGTTAACTCGCAGGCTCTGGGCTCAGCCGTGGTCACGCAGAAGAGACTTTCTATTGATTCTTGGACTCGCTCTGCCCGCAGACCGGGTTGTTCTAGGGGCTTCGCGTCGTGGCTCTGGCACCTTTCCCTGTGGCGAAGTTGGCTGCTGGCTCTGATACCATGGGGCTGGTGGCTCCTTTCTCTGTTGATCCACGTGGGATGCGTCTCTTCTGTGGCTTTTATATGTCCCCTGATGCTTTCTGACCTAATTGAAAATTTCCTGTCCCCAAAATGAGCGGTCCCCTTAGCTGGCAGGCCAGCACAGGGCAGGTTCTGGGAGAGCCCAGCCTCTGCAAGCTGGCAACCAAAGGCATGCTGTGCCTTGGCTGTCACTTCCCATCCGGAAAGGCTCAGCTTCTTGCAGGTTGGCAGGCATCTGTGGGCTGTGGATCAGCACTTTTGCACGTCAGCAGCGATCCTGTGCGCAGCATGGAGTCCTCTCAGGGTCGCCTACCGTCCCAATGACTTCCCCAATCCTGGCAGTGCCCTCTGCCCATGCCTGGGACAGGGAGCTTTTAGGCGATGGAGGGAAGGAAGGAGCTGGTGGCTTTGCTGTAGCTGAAACCTGGCTAGTAGGCCAAGCTAATGCCCACAGCAGTGATTGCAGGTGAATGGGCACAGGAGGTGGTGAAGCTGGAACCCCTGTCTCCATTTCCTTCAGCCAAGGGTAGTGGACACTGAGGGAGGATCTTATTCCCAGGCACAGGTGCTGCAGCTCCTGGTGTGGTGGGGGATTCTTCCCATACGCTTGCCCCCTGCGGACAGTCTGTGCCCAAGGTGCCACATCTAAGCTGGCTCGTCAGGCTTTGGGATTGGCATCCTCGGCTTCTTGCTACTTAATGACCTGATGTTCCTGACTCCTGCTGCCAAGCTCCTGTTCAGCCCCCGGGCAGACTGGGCTCTTTGTACGACCAGGAGAGCGTGAGCTAGGGCAGATCCTTGCAGACGTAGACCGCATCCAGCTGTCTAGGCAAGGTGGGCCTTGTCTGATAGAGCTGGGGATCCTGAGGCTGGTGAGAAATACCAGAGGATGCCTTTTGGGGCCTCTGTTGGGATAACAGCTTGTTGGCATCTCAGGCCCGGTGTTTCCTCTAGGGGCTCTTCCCCGTTGACTTCTGCGGGAGGCTGCACGTGGGGTGTCAGGATGAAAAATAAGCCCCTTGTGCTAATGAAGGTGGAGGCGTGAGGAGCCTATTTATAAGCACCGCTTTTTTCCCTGTAACGAAGTGCTAGCAGGAACGGTCTGACCTTATCCAACTCGGCAGACTCGACGGCTCTTGGCATATAGAGTGGTTTTTCCTTCCTCTGCAGAGAGGAAACTGAAGTAATCGTAGCCTGGCGAGGCGCTGGAGCAGCTTCTCACCACAGCCCGTTCAGCTGAGGACGTGGCCGGGAGATGCGATCTCCCTCAGCTGAACGCGCAGAGCGCTGGGCAGGACATGGAAGCTCTTGGCTTCTTTGCCCTTCTCTTTATCACCTTCCCTTCACCCTCCGAAGCATGCTGTTTAGCTTTGCCTAATTTAATCTCGATTTGCGTCACATCTTGCTCTGCGCAAGCGGAGACTGAAAACACTGCCCCAGCACTGGCTTAGGACCTGGCTAATCAGCTGTGAACATCGAAGCCAGTGTCTGGATTGGCGATGGAGCACCGGAGGCTGGGAGGCATCAGCCCTTTGTCTGTCCGGAGGCAAAGGAGCCAGTGCCGGTTCCCCGGGGTGGCTTTGCTGACCTTTCCTTACCAGGACTTTGGGAATGTCCTTGGGAAATGGGCCAGGAGGAGGATGTGTTTGTGCCCTGGGCCTGTGGCTTGTGGTAGCTGCCCATGGCTCGGAGCCGTCTGCCCCATTTTAGCCAGGGCATCTCGGTGTGTTCCTGAATGGCCTCTGGACGTCATGCTGTGTTCCTCCTGGGGATTTCTTTATAACCAAACTCAGGTGGTCCGCGACCTGGGGGAGGCACGTTGGGGGCTCAAGCCGGTGTCTCCCAGGACTTGCCTGCCTTGCCCTGAGCTTGGGGGGCTGGTTCCTCAGACAGGGCAGATTGACTGGAGGGTGAATTGGTCCCCGCTTCATCGCTCTTCCCGTCCCCGCAAGCCCCCTCCCTTTGACGATGTCTTGCACCGTGTTAAGGAATTATCTCCTCTCTCCAAGAGAAGGCGCAGGAAATGGCTGCAGATGGGGCCGGAGAGCTCCGCTCTTGGGGCAGAAGTCTTGCCCCTCGTGGATGGTGGTGGAGCTAACCGCCTCACCTGACCCAGGGGACCCACTAGTGACTCTCCCCACATTTGGCTAGTGTTTTCAGAGAAGCCGGCCCGTAGCCAGGAGGATCTTGCCAATGCTCATCTGAGCTAGGGAAGCACCATCCCTGTTGAGCCGCTCGGGTTTTCCCAGCACCGCGTCTTGGGGAGCTGAGCCCCAACTTCCTGAGTCGCCAGTCCAGTATCTTGGCCTCATGACGGGCGCGGTGTCCTTGTCTGCCCTTGAACAGGTCTGGTTTGTCTGCGCTCTGGCAGTACCCCCTAGTTGCGTCGCTGTTTCCGTCAGCAAGAGGGCTGTTGGCTGGGGTAGCTGGACTCTCTTCTCCGTGTGGCTTGAGCCACAGGGTAGCAGGGCTCCGGGCAGTGTCGCTGTGCTGACGCTGCGGCTTCTGTAGGCAGGTTTACATCAGGAATCGCAGCCCTGACTGCCCCGTTTCGCCTGCCGCAGTGGGAAGCCTGCAACGCCAGCAGACATTGTTGTCTGAGACCGGAAAAATCCTCCTTGTCCCACGTACAGACGCCCTGCTGCCTCCAGCCCGGCCTCCTACGTGCTGCTTTAAGACTCGCGCTGGTTCTGCGCGCTGTCAGCTGCACCGGCGCTCTGCGGTTTCCACCATGCGCCCTGGGGCAGAACCCCTCGCTCACTGCGTGTCCCTCGCCCCGAGGGGCTGAGAGGCAGTGACGGTCTGAAAAGCGCCTTGTGGGCCGGAGCTGCCCCAAGGACGCAGACCCAGGGGAAGACTCGTCAGCTCGCCCCTCCCCAGCACAGCCCCGTGGGCGATTGGCAGGCGGTGGAGGAGGCAGCTGGCTCTGCTATGGTTCCCGATGCGAATAACGAATCCAGCATGCTCACACCCCTCAGTCCGTGCAGGAGACAGCGTGCTGCTACCAGTCACCGTACCTATAGGAGGACATCACGACGTATGGATGATGTTCTGTAAGTGGCTTCTATACATCGGGCACTGGCGGCTCTTCCCAGCCTGTCCAGGCGAGGGCACTAAGGGATCAGCCAGCCCGTGCGTGAGCCCTGCGCCGCGGCTCTGGCTTCCTGCCTAGCGCAATCCCTGTCCCGTGTGCAAGGATGGTCCAGGAGCCTTTGGGATGGAGCACAGCTGGGCGCCTGAAGTGCACGCCCCCCTCTCCTGTCCCTCCCCCAGCAGATGCTGCCCTCAGTTCCCTTGCAGTGAATGCGAATGGAGCACGCTGTTTTCTTCCAGCATCATTTCAGGGTTCAGTAACCTCAGCCTGCAGCAATCTGGTCTCGCTTAAGCAAGAGCGGCATTGGCCATATGGTGGCGTGCAGCTATCTGGGTGTTGGAAAGACCGGGTGTCCCCCTCAGGCACCAACTTTCCTGGGACATCTGCCTTTGCCTTGCCTCTCCCGGACGTGTGGGTTACTGGGTGAGCTTTGCTAAAGGAGATCAGCCATCGCCTCGGGGTCGTGCTGTGTCAGGGGACATCTGAGCCCAGGGCAGAGGAAACCCCCCTGTGCCCGCTCTGTCTGACAGCCGCCTGCTGCAGACACCTTTTCTCACATGCTCAGTCAAAGTGTGCGTTACATAAGGGGGCTCTGATGGTCCCGCCTGGACCAGGAACTCGCTGCCATCCTGCGCAACCATGGGGCAGACAGTGCTGCTAGACAGTGCCCCATTGGGAGAGGTTTGTCTCGCACCCCGTCCCACGGCTAGCATGAGAGCCTCCGTGTCTCAGCCAGGGCCTCTGGGTGCTTAGAGAGAGATGCTGGACATGTAGCTTCCTTCCACCGAATGAGTCTTTGCCACCATGGGTTTAACTCTGACCCAGCTGCGTTCCCACTGTCGTGTCTCCACCGTGCTCCTGCCCAGGGGCCCCACTGCCAGGCTGCGGGGATGTAGGCAGGCGCTCACCCGGCGATCCTTCCCCTTCCCACTTCCCACCCCCTCTCAGCTCGCCTGGCTCTGTGCCATGCCCTCCCCCAGCTCCCCGAAAGCGCCGCGTGTTTGCTTTCCGCTCTGCAATTAGCTAAAGTGCAGCCTGGTTGCGAGCGTTTCCGAATGCTAATGAGTGCTCGGAGGGCTAGGAGACCGTCGGGCGGAGGCGAGCGCTGGGAAGAGCTGGCAACTTGGGCGCTTGGCTGAAGGGCTGGGAGCAAGCCCAATCGCCTTGGCTCTGCTGGAGGAACAAGGCTGGTGTCCACCGCTCTGTCCAGGTGGAGAGGATCCTTAGTGTCACCTCTGGGGAAGAACTCGGGGTTGGGAAGTCAAGATGCGGGTGAGGGGGAAAGTAACGTGAAGATCCTTCTCTCTCTCTCTCCTGGTGCAGTGTTCTAGGTGAGCCCCATCTGGTATTTAGGAGGCAGTGGAGTCCTAAAGGGATCAGGTGATGCCTTCTCCCCCCCACTCCCATCCCCTTCCCCAGCAAAACCCTGCTGGACTTGAATGGAAAGAGGGAGAAGTGCTGGGAGGCGGCAAGCTCTGGTTGTGAGCACACGAGGTCTTGCTCTAAGGGCTCAAGGCCCTGATGTCCCAGGGCTTTGTCAGGCTCTGCCTCATGGGCCCCCAAAGGAGTTGATGGGGCTGAAGAGCGAAGGGCCGATGCAAGGGGTTAGCAGCGTTTCAGAGAGCTCGTGTTCAGCCTTGCTCCACTCTGCAGCAATGCCAGGTCCTTTTGCTGAGACCTCTGCAGCCACCGAGGAGCCTCATGCTAAGCCACTGACTGGAAGCAACGCCGTTTCAATTGACCACTTGCTCTTGGAGACCTCTTCCCCTCCCTCCCTGCCTCCCTCTCTGTCTGGTAGCTGGGACTCCACTGTGAAAGCAGATGAGTCCGTTCTTGCTCAGCCTCTGCAAGGCTGGAAACTATTGCCCCTCCAGATAAGACCACATGAGCACAGACCATCTGGCCGGGGAGAGCCCCCTCCTCCATGCCCTCCTGATTGTGTGACTGCTGGGTTTGGGTTCCTCTCCAAGCTGGCCAAGTGCTTGGCTTGGCTGTGCAACCAAGGGAGCCCATAGCTTCCTCCCTTCAAAGCGTGTCAGCAGTGGGCAGGAGCTCGTTTGTCTTGGCCCAGCCCAAGGAGGAGGAGGTCCGTGACGCGGTGCCTTATGGAGCCCTTGCAATTCAGTAGCAGCAGTATCCGTTCTACATGCTGCCTGTCCGGTAAGAGTAGCCCGCTCCATAGGAAGATGTCCCCAGGACCATTAGTGGATGTGGCTTGGGTTGCAATTTCATCTGGCTTCGCTTCGGTAAAGCCACTTTGCCTTCGCGGCTGCCACCCGATCTCTCCACCTGGCTTCGGCGCGTGAAGGAGCCGCGTGCTCAGGGGCACAGGCTAGGCAGCGTTGCTTCTCGAGCGCTCTGTCATAGGTGCTGCCATCTGCACCGCTCTGCCCACCCCTTTGGTTTCTGTAGCCACGGCTGCAGATGTCCTGGAGCAGCAGCACTGTCCGTTGGCTCGGCTCCGGGGAGGCAGGAGCAGCGTGCCGCGAGCGAAACCCGATCGGACCCGGTTTGATCCAGGGCGCTCGGGACTTGTTTACTTTCCCCAAATAGCTGAACAGGGTTGTAAATGCCAGGGAGAAGCGGGGTCAGGGTAAGGGGCTTTGGGGGGGGGGTCTCTGCTCTTTGCCCATGCTCTCTCCCCTGTGGCCTGAGATGAAGCAAAAAGGGCGCTCTCAGCTGCTTTTCACCGTGCCTCAGTTTCCCTTCTGAAACCAAACAGGTGGCTTGTTCCTGGGAGATCCCCTGTTGGAAACGCAGAGCATTGCCACTGGAGCTCTGCAGTCAACCACGTGCCTCCCCATGGGCCTTGCAGTGAGGACCATGGGCAGCTGCACGCCCTCACTTTCCCTCCTTTGATTCCTCTTGAAGGGAGGGGGGGGGGTGGGGGGTAGGAGTACCTGTTCCCCTCCCTTAGATCATTAGCACTTCTGTCTCCGCTTCTGATCTGCCTCTTGAATTATTCAGCCCTACAACCCGGCCTGTAGTAGCAGGGAGGCGTTAGCGGTGGGGTGCAGGGTTCGGGTTACCTTGTTCAGTCACACTCGAGCCTCTGCAATAGAGCCGTGCGAGCGCGGGTTCTCTTTACAGGAATCCGTGTCCCAGACATGTGACACCTGGGTCGCACATCCATACACGGCTGCTCCCTCCTTGACTGCCGGGCTCATTAAAGCGCTTACAATCTCTCTCTCCGCTCACCGCATGCTCCGTGATTCCCTCAGGGGCAACTCTCAGAGGAGGAGTCCTCCCTAGCGTGCTACGGGGCGCCAGCTGCCAAGGGGCTCTTTAGGTGGATGGCGAAGACAGCAGGTGGGAGCTGCTGCAACCCTCCCTTCCCGGTATGCGGCGTAGCTGCCCAGACAATCCTGCCACAGTCTCCGTGCTCCCACCTGCGCCAGGCAGGATCGTGACCCTGCTCTGGACAAGGCTGCGATGCCCCGTGACCCTGCAGCAGGTGGTCCTCCACCCTGCCCTGAGCCCCTGACCCCATCACTCATCTCCGCCAGGCCTAGAGCTCAGGTGTTCTCGCCCGTCGAGCCAGCAGGTCCGTGGCATCTGCTCTGTGCTGTTGCAGCAGCACAGCGCGCCACGTGTCTTAGCAAGCACGTGGCATGGGACGGCAGCCCTCGCCGAACGCGGAGCGGGCTTGCTGACCAATGTAGGAATGGGGGAACATGCACAATGCTCGCGTGTTTGGAGCGGGTCCAGCCAGCCGCACGCTCGTCCCCTTCCTCTGCCGACAGTGCGGCGGAGCCGTGAACTGCACAGAGTCTGTTCCCAGGGGTTGTGTCCCGGGGGCTTGCTGGGCTCGGCTGCTCGGGGGTCTGAGCAGCTCCCTCCTGCGAGAAGACGGGGGCGAGAGACTTCTGATGGGAGTTCCTTTCCTCCGCGCTCACTCGACTCACCTGAGGTTATCGAATGGCTGGAGGCAGCCGTGTCTGTGGGCCTATGTTTAAAAACCAGACCTTGCACACTTTTGTGTGTGTGTGTGACTTTGGGGGAGCTGTTCCCAGCTAGGATGGCTGCTGCACGCGTGTCCTGCTGCAGCCTGGTGCTGTCAGTTCTTGAACCCACTGCCAGCGCTGGGGTCACGCCGTCCTCAGGATCCCAGCTCGTGTTAACTGCGACCCTGCGCAGGGCCTTGAGCCCAACGGTGAATCCCGTCTCCTGGGGGGAGAACATGGACATGTAGTAAAGCCTATTCTTAGCTTAATTGCTCCTTTTTTTTAGCTTAAACCTCCAGATCGGCCCAACCAGGAAACTCCCTGAGGCTGGTTCTTGCTGTCCAGGAACATGCATGTTGGTGCAGTGCCTATTCGGGGATGGGGCTGCGTCCCGAGATCCTGCTGGCACACGGCTCCTGAGCGAGCAGGCAAACCTCGGGGACAGGGCGGTGGGACACGCAGGGCCTTGCATTTGGTACGTGCCTTCTCTGGGCCTGAGAGCACTGCTTGGGTGCAGAACAGCACCTGCTGCTTCCCTACGTGGCTGCGTCGTGCCTGCTGGCAACCTCCCTGGCAGAGCTGAGCAGGGCTCCTTCTGCCCTGGGCCGCGCTAGCTGCGTCTGGAGGAACTGAGTCCCTTTTAGGGGTGATTTTAACCCAAAAGACTGCGAGCGGCTTCTGCTTTTTCCC